CTGCTGGCCAGGAGCATGAGGTCTGCCAGCCCCTTCTGTGTCTCCAGCACAGAGATCAATCCCTCCATCACAGGGGGCGGCTGGATCTCAGGCTTTTCGCAAAGGCAGCCCAATTTCATGGAAAGTCGCTGGCCTGGAGGTGGGAGGGCTGCATTTCGGTTTTCAATCTGCCACAAAGTTGTGATGCAGCCGTGGGCAAGTCACCACCCCTGTCTGGGACTCAGTGTCTCTATCCATTGCATCGGTGTTGCTGTGATTTTTTTTTTTTTTGACGCCTTGCTCCTTTGTCCTGTGCCCTTTCCAGATCGAATGCTCCAGTATTTCTGACTACTCAGAGAAGATCATTAAGGCCAACCACCTGGACAACAGTAAGACCTACCTCTGAGTATTTTCTCCTGGGTGGGGGGGACGGGAGGCTCACACTTGCTTGTTGGGATGGCACAGCGGGAGGAGCACAGAGCACTTGGACTTGGGGAGGTGGTGCACCCAGCTGAGGCCCCTGCCAGCAGGATTGTGGCCATGGGTGCTGATGTTCCCACCCCCACCAGGCAAGTTAAGGATCGTAGCCGTCTCCTCGCAGTTTTTGGCAAGTCCTGCTTGTGGCTAAATCCTGAGTTGCCATACTCTTTGCTTGTCCCCAGCTGTGGGCAACCTATTGCGTTCTGCAAAATGGCCACATTCCTCCTCCTCCTCCTCCTCTTCCTCCTCTTCCCTCTCCATGAGCCCCAGCCCAATCTTTCCCTGCCATCTGCCCAGGGGCATCCTGGCGGACCCCAGGATGTGGTCCTCCACTGCCCACAAGCCCTGTTACTGCCGGGCTTTTTTGGGAATGAGGCTGCTTTTGGGAGTAGGCCCTTCTTCAGCTGGAGTCTGATTATACAGAGGGGTGTCCCTTCCCTTCCTCCCCTCCCACCTTTCCCATGGACAGCGACATTTCCCAGCCCCTCCTCTCTGGAGCCCATCTTGGAAACAGACCCGCAAGGGTCCCTGATCAGGAGACGTCCTTGGAGCTTGCATCTGACAGCAGGATTAGAAGCAGTCCCCGGCCTTGTACTCAGTGCTGGGGAGAGCATCGGAAAGGCAGACAGGGTACCAGCTCTGTGTGGGCATCCTGTCCTACTGCGCTGGGGCTGCAGTGAGGCCGGGAGAGGAACTGGTAGACAGAAAGTTGCAATACAGAGAGACAGCTGGAGCCAGACAGGGCTGGCAAGAGCAGGGGGACAGAGGCCGCCTGCAGCAGAGGACTTGCAAAGGGTCAGCTCCAAAAGACAGAGCTCACTGCAGAGTTCCGAAAGGTGGGAAGGCTGGAGCTGGGAGGGAAGGACGTTCCCTTGAGGGGTCTGGGGCAGGGGAAAAAGAGGCGAGGTTGAGAAGGAATCTGATTTCAGTGTCCCTCCTGAGGGAGCCTGGGCAGGGAGGTCCGGCAGGTGGGCTTTGTCAAAACCCAGGCACCAAGGAGTCGGCTCAGCCTCCCCTGTCTGTGCTGTGTGACCCTCTGCCCTATGGATGCAGCCCTTGCCATGCTCCCTGCTGATCTGCCAGAATTCCTCTGCCCTCCTAGAGGGTGCCTGCTGCCCTGTCACCCCTCTGGGTCTGACCTGAGTCCCCAGGCCCAGGTGGTACCTGCCTGCACACACCACTACAAACCTGTGTCCGTGTGGCTTCAGCCCTGCCACCTGTCCTGTCTGGTGCTTGACCCACTTGCTGCAGACTCTTTGCAAAGGCAGGAGCCTTACTGACTCAACAAACTTCTCTGCAAACCACCATGAACCAGGTTGTGGGGACAGAGCAGGGAACCAGACAGGTAAAGTCCCTGACCTCATGGAATCCACATTCCATTTAGGGGCAGGGGTTACAGATAAAAAATAAAGAAGCAGACACTCAAAGAAAAATATCAGGTGGTGATAAGTGCTTTGCAGATCACAAAGTCAGCTGACAGAATGGAGAGAGACCCCATGGTTGCGTTAGGTTAGCTGCTCTCTGAGCAGGTCACAGTGAAGCTCAGATCTGAATGACAGGCAGGAGCCAGGCTGACAAAGGTGAGGGGAAGAGAATCTCCGACAGAAGTTACAGCCAGTACAAAGGCCTCCGGCATGGACTGAGCTTGGCATGCCCCAGAAACACAAAGAAGATCATGCCACGTGACCAGAGCATGGAAACACAGGGATCAGAGAGGGAGGAGGGGACCAGATCACATAGGATTTGTAACCAGGAAAACAAGGTTAGATTTTATGCTCCAGGTGCTGCAGTCTGTTGGAGGATTTCAAGCAAGGGAGGTGGCTTCTCTATGGAGGGTGGATTGGAATACGTTGCAAGCAGGAAGAGTGTGAGCAGACAGAAGGGAAGAAGCTATTGCAGTGCTCCAGTGAGAGGGGCTGCAGCAGGGACTGGGGCGGCAGTGGAGATGAAGAGAAGTGACCCCTGTGGAATATGCTGGGAGATGGAGGCACAGGACCTGAAGATGGATTGAGTGTGGGGATGAGAAAAAAGAGAGAAGCAAGGATTGTTTTTGACTTGGGCAACTGGGTGGATGGTGGGTGGATGGAGGCAAAGTACTCATAGGGGTGGCAGGAGTGAGAAGGAAATCAAGAGCTCTTTTTTGCATGTGTTAGGTCTGAGATGCCCATCGGACATCCAGGTAGATGCGTTGAGTCAGATTTGGATATGTGAGTCTAGAATTTCAGGAAGAGCCAGACCAGGAGACCTCCACTTGGGCGTCATCAACCTATAGGTAGTATTTGAAGCCACAGGATGTGGTCACTTAGGGATGGTGTGTAGCTAGAAGAAAGAAATGGACCAAAGATGGGGCTCTAGGGCACTGCAATGCAACATTCAGAGGTCAAGCAGGGGAGAAGGGCAGCAAAGAAGCAGAGAAGATGCAGTTGGTGAGGTTGAAGGGCATTCAGGAGAGAGGAGGACCATGAAGCCCAGGGAGGCGGCAAGCTCAACTATAGGGAATGTGGAGGGATCAGCTCTGGTAAGAACAGAGAAGTGACCACCATTGACTTTGGCCACATGGAGGTTACCAGTGTTCTTAACAAGCACAGGCTCAATGTGGGGCTGGCAGAGAAATCTATTCAGAGTAGGTTCAGGAGAGACTGTGAGGCAAGGACCAGAAACGATGGGAATAGAAAAATGGAATAGTAGCTGTAAAGGAAGGTGGCATCAAGGGAAGAAGTTTTTTTGTTTGTTTGTTTGTTTTTTAAGAATAGGAGATATGAAAATGTGTATGTGATTCACTGGTGTAGTAGAGGGACAGAAAAATTGCAGATGCAGGAAAAAGTAAATTCAGCAGCAAAGGTGTGTGTGTCAGGGGTGGGTTCCAGAGCACAGGTGGAGGGGTGGCCTTTGCCCTGCCTAGGTGGATGGGTGGTCTTTGCCTTGCACAGGTGGTGGGGCGTTCTTTGCCTTGCAGAGGTGGAGTGGCGGGCTTTGCCTTACGGTAGGGATAGTTTAGCCGTAGAAGTGGGGGAAAGTGGGGAGTGTGGGTCCAGATGGAGGTGCCGGTGGCGGGAAGCCTCAGTTTTGCTGCTTTCATTTGCACAGTGAAGAATGAGGCAGTTGCATGTCAAAAAGACAGAAGGTGAAGGGAAGTGAGTCCTGGAATGGGAGGGAAGGAGGGAGGGCAGCAGACAGGCTGGGGGAGTGAGGACTGCTGCGACGCCGTCTGATGCCTGTAGAGATGCATGACCATAGAGGCGCAGTGTGTCCCATCCTCCCTGTTGTGTGATCTTTGTCTTACCACTCTCAGGAGCTTGGGTGCGGTTGGAGAGGAAGGTTGCCTGGATCAGGGCTTTGCTGGGAGCATGCAGCGGAGGGAGGGGGAGCCAGAAGTTGACAACAGTGATGGACCGTGGGATCTAACCTGGGCCAGGAAGGAAGCAGGGAAGGGCAGTGGTGGTTGTGACAAAGGCTGGGGCAATGGGTGGGCAGCATCTGTAGTGGCCACAAGTGGAGCTGCGATCCTGAGGCCCAAGTAGGGGAATGCTGCTCAGACCCCTTGACTTCTGGCTTGGTGTCCAGCCTCTCTTGGCTCACCAAGCAGAGCTGAGTCTATTCTGCGCCCTCCTCAGAGAAGTGCTTGACCTGGGCTCCCTATCTGCTTACTAAAGATGGATAAAGAAAACTGGTCGATTCTTTCTCTGTGAGGGTGACACAGCCTGGCATCCTTCTCCCCAGCCTGTGAAATAGGGCAAATGGTTTTCCCCACTAACGGGTGTGGAAACTGAGGCTAGGAGAGGTGGCTGACTGAGCCTGGGCTTTGTTCCGGTGCCCTTTGCTAAGGTGTGTTTGTGTGGATGCAGAAGTACCAGGAGTGCTGCTGAGCCTGAAAGTGTGTTGGGAGGGGAGGCTGTGTGCGGGCACAGCAGGATCAGATGTCCTCTCAGTGGTCCTGAGTCTCATCCCTGAACCCTGAGGGGCTTCCAAACAACACCTCGACCATTCCCCTCCCTCTGCACAGGTTTCATCTGCGCCATAATTCCTGACCTCTGACCCAGCCTCTGACTCTTCATCTTCTCAGTGCCAGCCCACCCCCAGTAAGTGTCTGGGGCTCTGGAAACACAGCCTCCCTGGTGTCCCTCCTCCCCAGGCTTGCAGGGGCTACTGTCCTGCAGCCATTCATAGCAGAGTGTGGGGCGGGCCGGCAGGAGAGGTGGCTAACTCCAGCTAAGGCATCTCCGACCTGCTTGCCGGGAAAGGAACCACACAGCCCCCTCATCATCCTGCTCTGCCTCACACCATAGGGCTCTCCCTTTCCTCCCCTTCCTTCTCCTCCCCTTCTCCTCCCTTTTCCCTTCTTCATTTTAACTTTTGAAATACTCAACGTACAGAAAAAGCGCACATACAGCTGGGTTTTTTATGGAATCCTTTGAGAGTGAGTGGTTGATGTGATGCTCCGTCATCCCTGAATACATTAATGTGCATTTCAAACCATCAAGGACATTTTCTACCAGCCACATGCAACCATCAACGTCAGGAAATTAACACGTCATCATTACCTAATGCCCAGATCCTTTTCATGTTTTGTCAATTGTCTCAGCGACATCATCTGTAGCATGAGGATTTCGTTCAGAATGACACGTTGCATTTGGTTGTCGTGACTGGTTCCCTTCACGCTGGCCGACTCAGACTTTCCTTGACTTTCATGGTCTTGACACACTGGAAGATCTACAGGCCAGTGTTTTTAGGATGTTCCCCAGTTTGAGATTGTGCGATGCTTCCTCACGATTGAATTCAGGTTCTGCATCTTGGGTAGAAATATCACAGACAGGATGCTGTGTTCTCATTGCATGCAATTTCGGCTTGTCTCGTTACAGATAGCATCACTTAGACCACTTGGGGAAGGCAGTGTCTGCTGCCAGCGGCAGCATGGGAAAGCTGCTCTTTTCCCTTTGTAATTAGTAAGATTTTCTGGGGGAGGTACTTTGACACCATGTAAATATTTCATTCCTCATCAAACTAACATCTATCTATCTATCTATCTATCATCTATCTATCTATCTATCTATCTATCTATCTATCTATCTATCTATCTATCTATCCGTCCGTCCATCTGTCCGTCAGTGTCCATCCATCTGTCTGTTGGTCTGTCTGCCTGCCTACCTACCTTACCTATCTATCTATCTGTCTGTCTGTCTATCTATCTATCTATCTATCTATCTATCTATCTACCTACCTACCTACTTACCTACCTAACTAATCCATCTCTCTCTCTCTCTATCTTGTCTATCTAATCTGTCTATCTATCTATCTATCTATCTATCTATCTATCTATCTATCTATCTGTCCGTCCATCTGTCTGTCAGTCCATCCATCTGTCTGTTGGTCTGTCTGCCTGCCTACCTACCTTATCTATCTATCTGTCTATCTATCTATCTATCTATCTATCTATCTATCTATCTATCTATCTATCTATCTATCTATCTACTTACCTACTTACCTACCTAACTAATCCATCTCTCTCTCTCTATCTTGTCTATCTAATCTATCTATCTATCTATCTATCTATCTATCTATCTATCTATCTATCTATCCATCTGTCCGTCAGTCCATCCATCTGTCTTTTGGTCTGTCTGCCTGCCTACCTACCTTATCTATCTATCTGTCTGTCTGCCTATCTATCTATCTATCTATCTATCTATCTATCTATCTATCTACCTACCTACCTATCTACTTACCTACCTAACTAATCCAGCTCTCTCTCTCTCTCTCTCTCTGTATCTTGTCTATCTAATCTATCTATCTATCTATCTATCTATCTATCTATCTATCTATCTATCCTATCTGATCTATCTAATCTAGCTATCTTTCTGTCCATCCATCCATCCATCCATCCAACCAGCCAGCTAGCGTTCATCCATCTACTGATCTGTCCATTCATTTCACTATAGATTCCTATTTTATTTAATAGGTTACAGCTGTTATCACTACTGGCTTCGATACTCAAATTGTCCCTGATTTCGTCACTGATGCCCTTCCAGCTGGCTTCTGTGTCCCTTTGAAATGTCTCTTTCCCTTTTCCCAAGCCTCCTTACTTTCCAGCACAAGACATTCCAGGCTTGTCTTGTGCCTCCACACCTCTGTTCTAGAATCAGTCATTTCTGCCTGATTCCAATTAGTGGACCACAGCATTTAGAAACTAAGGTGGGGGCTAGATGCTCATTGATTTTAGAATGTTGATGCTCTCAGGCTGTTTCACTGGGGAAAGCTGGGGAGTGTGTGTCTCTGTGTGAGTGGACACATTTACACAATCTTTATTACTGTATCTATTTTTTTTTCTTTTTTTTTTTTATAGACGGAGTCTCGCTCTGTCACCCAGCCTGGAGTGCAGTGGCACGATCTCGGCTCACTGCAAGCTCCGCCGCCTGGGCTTACGCCATTCTCCTGCCTCAGCCTCCCGAGTAGCTGGCACTACAGGCGCCCGCCACCGTGCCCAGCTGATTTTTTGTATTTTTAGTAGAGACGGGGTTTCACCGTGTGAGCCAGGATGGTCTGGATTACTGTATCTATTTATACGTATTGTCAATCAAGTAGGAACTCGCATGATTAACTCACTCCAGTGTTAACCAGTACCATGGAGTTTCCTCTCATATCCTCCCTTTCCACATTTCTAACTCCTTTCTCTGGCAGAAAAACCAGACTCTCATTATTGGTAATATGTTGGCTTACTACTCATTTATAATATGTTTACATACCCCTGAATGTAACCAATCTCCCATTGTCACCACCTCCTGCCCCAGGCAGATGTCTGTCACCCCGTGCTGGGATCTGACACCCTTGCTGGGCAGCGTCCCACCTGGGCACCCTCCTCTGCTTGGGGAGCCGGACTGCCATGGTCCATGCTGACCCGTGGTGGCATCCACACCCCCACCATTTCCTGGGTTTGCTCAGCCCCACCTCATGGCTTTAGCATGGAATCGTTCGTCCTCTGGGTTTTGATGGCTCAGACTTGATTCTATGCTACCGAGGCAAAGGCTTGAAGAGGGCAAACCATTGTCCCCAAGGGAATAGCTGCCCTCGTGCCCATTCCTCCCTTAACACACCTGTTCCAGGGAGGAGGGAACTCCAGGTCCAGGGGCCTCCAGAGAGCCAAGTGGTCTTTACTTCTTCCTCCCAGGGTTTGCAACAGGTGGGTGGAGCCAGCGAGGCCACCCAGAGCCCTGGCTGCTGCACCCGCTCGCAGCAGCGGGTGTGTACTCAGAGGAGGACAGCTTGGCTGCACGGATGCTTCCATGGAAATGCTTTTGAAATGCTGCAACAGCCAGCCATGTGGGTCTCAGGAGCGTAGGTGTAGAGACATAAATAACAACACGGGGCATAGAATACCTGCTTCCCAGAAGCAATCAGCCTCTCTCCCTCTCCACCTCCGTACGGCTCCCGTGATGAAGTTATTCACATGTAGACACACACCCACAGGAAGCCACCTGCAGCAGGCACGCAGCCTTCACATGGCTTCTTCCACACGTGTGGCCCACACGCACGCTTCAGTGACTCCTCTTTGACTTCAGCACTAACGACTATTATTTCCTCTCCATCTGATGAGGAAACCAGTGGGCTGCCGAGATGCCGAAAAAGGTAGATCCATTGCGAAGGTTGACATAGGAGCTCAGAGGTTGATTGCATCGGTATAACTCTAGAAACAAAAAATGTATAACCCGTTTACTTCCTAGAAAATTCAAGGAAAAAAGCGTGCCCTTTTCCTTGTCCTTCTCCTACTTTTGCATGACCTAAAGCATCAGTGTCCTAGCTAGAAGAGACTTTAAGGTAGCCTGACACGAGGCAGTGGCAAGGGACAGCTGGGCCTCCGCAACTTAATGGTAGAGAGGACTTTATCAAATCACTTCCCCTTTCTGAGCCTCTTTTTGCCCCTTTAGAGGAGATAGATCAGTGCACAGCTTGTAGGGTTATGAGGGGCTTAGGGATTGTGGAGGTCAAGTGCCTGATATAGGGCCTCATATACAGTAGGTGCTCAAATGTCAGCTATAGGTCATTTCAGGTGTAATGCCCTACACCTTGATGATTCTTGGCCACACACTCCCAGCCTTATATAGGTGACAATAAGTTCGGTGCTCTGACAGTAATCCTCTGTGCTTTGCAGCCACCCAGTCCTGGGATGATTCTCCTGGTGGGATTTCCACAACTGCTACATGTACATCCCCAGTTCCTTCCCCTCTTGCTCAGGAGGGCTGTGGTTGGAGCATTCTCCTCTGGCCATGTTTTAGCATCTCTTTCACCAGCAGAGGGTTGTGCTAAGAAATAAACACAGCCAGTCCATGGGAGGGGCCCAGATGCTGCACTTGTGGCAATGCAGCTCCAGTTTCTGCCTGCCAGCAGTTGTGGAAAACACCATGTCACACTGTTCCTAGCTGGAGATCAACTACAATCTGTTGTCTATCCACATACTGCTGCCAAGTGATACCTCCTAACCTATATCTGGTTGGTGGATGTTTTGAATCAATCCACACTGAGAGTCACATGTTTTTATTCGTATTCAACACCATGTTGTTAGAGTTGGTCTTCTATCACAAATGACTAAGACTCCCTACAGATGATCACTCTCCCGGGAGTCATTGCTGTTGGCTTTGTGATGGGTGTCCTGTGGTGAGGGTGGAAGCTCCTGTAGGCTGCTCTACACTAGGCTCTTAACCAGCTCTTTGGAATAGAGTCATGTGGCCAACTCATGAATCCACACAGTACTTTGTCATCTTCTCTCTTAGGATGCCATGGTGGTGGGGCCTTGTCAACGTCCTTGGTGAAGTCCCACGTGACATCCTGCAAGCACGGGCTCTGGAGTCAAACTTTCTGACTCACACCCAGCTCTGCCGGAAGTAGACTGTGCTCTTGGATGACTTAGTTTATGTGCCTTAGTTTCCTCATCTCTGAGATGGGAATAGTGGTTCATACCTCCCAGGGCCACTGTAGGGATTGCCTAGTTGCTGTTTGTAAAACTGTGGCACTCTGGAGCCAGCCCCTGACGGGATCCTGAGAGCTGATTGCGAAAGTTTCAGTAAATCTGCAGAATGGATGCAGTCATTGGCCATGGTGGAAGTATTTATACCACAGAAGTCAGCAAAGGCGACAAACCAGGCTTCTGCCTCCTGGAGAGCCAGTTGTTAAGTATCACCAGCACACCACTGTATAAAGCACAACAGCATCCGGTAGGCACTAAGTAACAGATAAATGTTAGTGGTTGTTACGATTATTCCGTTTATTAACTTGACTAATAACCATGTCAAAAAAAGAAATGAGACCAATCATACATAATTATTTTTAATGAGCCTGTACTAGTGACGGCTGGCAACTGCTACTTCCTTCCCTAACTGCTCAAGAAACAACCCATTACTAATCTTCAAAGTGAGTTTCATGTATTCATCCCTTTGAGTATTATTGAGCCATGTACTGGGTCCTGTGTTTGTGATGTGACTAGCACAGACAAAATCTTTGCTCTCATAAAGCTTACAGTCTCAGGGAGAAGACAGACGTGAAGGCAAGCCAACAAACAAAATCACGACATAATCACAAATTGTGAAAGTGCTTAGAAAAAAACAGTATGGAGTAATTGAGAAAATGGGGATGTGCTTTTTCCAGTTGGGTGGTCGCAGGGGCATGCTACTGTCACGTGCTGCCTGCCAAGAGCCGAGTGCATGCACTCATCTCTTCTCAACTCTGCCTTGAATGGCATCATTGGTGGCGTTAGCTTAAAATCAGCTGTAGTGGAAGTATTTACACCACGGACATGGGCAGGTGCTACAAACCAGAGCTGTTTTGTTTTCCCTTCTGGAGACCTAAAGGTGAAGACAGGGCCATGCTGAGAGCAGTAGGAAGAGTGTTTTACCCACCTGTACACATTCCCTCAGGTGGGAGATACTTTCTGTCCCATGGAAGCTTCTCCTGCAGGGTGAGAGTGATACCTGAGCCCTGGGGAAGCTTTGGTTGCCCTTTACATTCCCATGGACGTCACCCACTTCACCTAGTACCAGTGCATTCTTGATAACCCCTGCTTCCCTTCGGCCAAGCCCACATGATCATCTGCCTGTGGCCACGGTGTCGGGTATCTGCCAGGCTGGACCACAGGTGTTGTTCTAAGTGGTGGGCGATGATTTGGGGTGGGAGGAGTCCTGGTATTGTTCTGATTAACTGAGTACTCCAGCCACTGCCTAAGAGAGGAGAGAAACCAGGCAGGGTCTCTGGCTAGGGAATGGCTCTGGCAAAGCTAGCATGGCTTTGGAGCTCCAGCCAAGCACACTGAGCCCTGAGACCTCGAGGGAGCCAGAGCAGGCTAGAACATGAAGCCAGGCAGATGACACAGTGGGCACAAGGCAGATCCTCGAGTCCCATGTTCGTGGGTGAATGGGGGATTTGGGCAAGGAGAGGAGTACTATATTGTGGAAGCGACCACATTGAGGCTCCATGACACCCAAGGCTCCATGACACCCGAGGCTCCATGACACCCAAGGCTCCCTCACGTCCCTCCGGCAACAGGGTCAGTTTGCTGTGGGACATAGTCCCAATCCCACCAGACATTGAGGGTAGAGATACGGACATCCTTTTTCCCATCACCATGGGCTCCAGAATGGGCAGGTTCTGACCTCATGAGAGAGGCTTATCCATGCACCTGGGTCCCGGAGAAGGAGAGGGCAGTGGGGCAAGGCAGGGGCTGACATCAAGGGAGATTGATGGGATCTGGCCCCACCGTGGCTGCTCTCCATGGCTGGATCTCCCCTCAGCCTGCCAACGAACCTGACCAGCTGCAGGAGAAGGGTAGGTCAGTCCTTTGCCTTCTCTGACTTCTTTTCTCTCAACATCCCAAGGAGTTGCGCCGTGTCCATAAGAATCCCAGGCGGTAGGGAGGTCAGATGGTCACCCATTCGCCGGGTGAGGAAAGGAACCACGGGGAGGCACAAACGTGCGCAACAGGCCTAGGTTCAACCTGACTTCTCTAAACTCCAGTTCTCTCCTTAGGCTCAAAGAATAACGAAACCAAACACACAAGTTCCTAGGAGGATTACTGAAGTAACACACGGAAAATCACTCTGCAAGCTGCTATTCAAATGCTAGTAATTTTTTACTGTCACAATTAGGA